AAAATCAAAAGGAATATATATATATGCCCACAAAAAATGGAAAATAGGGAGAATACAACAGCAGGAAAAAAAAAATTCTAACTTTTTTCATGAGACGGAAGAAAATGAAGTGATTTTGGGTAGTTATGATAACAAAATAGTTAACACATTCTTGTCTTTCGTTTAACATTACAAGAAATTGATTGAATGAGGATTCAAATGTGTTATAATAACAAAGTATAGGGGGACAAATGTACCATGAAATTGATTGAATGAGGATTCAATTTGTTATAATAACAAAGTATAGGGAGACAAATGTACCAATTAGGGGAATAGTTGTTACTGTAGTAAGAAATAGGGGGTAATAGTAATTTTCCTACAAGTTATTATCATGATATGGAAAGATCACATACCAATTGCAAAAGAAAACGTGAATCTATGGCATTAATTATCTGCTGTTCCAAATCCCCATTTAAGGTAATTTCCATCCCCGTATCACCCGCAGCCATATCATCCTCACCAACTGCAGACCCTGAAATTCAGCATATGCATTCATAAACTTTCTTGGGAATAGAGAAAATAAATATTTTTAAGAAAATGAGAAAGATAAAACGTACAAAAAAAGAAGGTTAACCAAGACAAGGACAGAAAAGCTAATCAGGACAAATGTAAGTCTTTAAAGTGTCCATGTACCCTATATACTCATAAGCTTTCTAATCAAATATTTCAAAGGAAAGCATAAACTCTTGCGCAAGTTCTAACCAAACAAAAACTATAATTGATACAAGAAATTTATGCAAGAAGAAATTCTTCCAGAAGAGCACAAGAGGCAGAAAAGACAATTAAATTCAAAAGAGTCAAATTGCTGCAGAAAATGGAGGAAGGCATACTTCCTGTACTTTCTCTACTAGAGGATTTTACAGGAGGCAGTGCCTCCAGTAAAAATGTTGCAACAGCAGCTACGTCTGTAGCCTGAACAAATCAAATATAAGTACAATTAGCATCAAATAATTTTGCCCAGAACCTGTTTTAATTGTTGCTAAGAATTCATAATTTAATAAAGCAACTTAAGCTAACAATACAAGCCAATTGAATGAAGTAAATTACTCAGATTAGGATAAATAAAAGTAGCAAATTACTCATTGAAAAATTAGGTTTAGCTCATTGTTAAACATCTTCACTATCAATTTCCCTAAAATGATTGGATTCAAGTATACCAAATGCCAATTCATATGACTGAATATAAAACGAGATAGTGAAAGGTTGAAATAGCCCAGCAGAAATCCTTATCTACACATCTTGACCAATTAAAAGATTTCAGTTGCTCAAATTTTTTTGTTGGATAGAACCAGTTGCTCAATATTTTAACAGCTGTTACTGCTGGAAATAATAATAAATGCTGTAACTGAACTTATCATGAGGTATGATAGTAAAGCAGACTAATGAAAGTTCCCGAGAATCAAAAAGGGAAATTTCCTATATGAAACAAAAACATTAAATTTATAAAATAATTCTGGTGTAGAAAAATAAAGCATTTCCATTTGAAACAGTTGGCACAAAAGATGATGCCTAAATATAACTTTCGTGAAAATAAGCATATATTGATCATTCTGTGGCAAATATTCCAAAGATCTAAGTATCAGAAAGCTCATCTTACAAGCAGAAATTTGGTAATGCTGACTTTTTGTAGGCTACAGAGTCATTGGTTGCAATTTCTCAAATATAAAATCACATT